GTTGGGCGGTCGGCTGCGGTCGGTCAAACGGGCGGGGCGGGGGGGAGATGCTGGCGGAATGAATGGCGAGGGCGACGGGGGCTCGGGCGGCCGTGGCGTCTCGCCGGCGGCGGCGGGAGGTGGCGGGGAATGCGGCGGGGCGGCCGGATCGGGGCGGCGTGAAGAGTGGGGTTCAGTTCCGCTCCGCTCTACTCTACTGTGAACGAACTCCAGTTCCAGTTCCAGTTCCAGTCCAGGGGAGTCCAGGCTGGCTGGCTTTGCTGGCTCTTTGCCATTTTCGCACGGAGGCCCTTGAGGCGCCGCAGTTTCGCAGGCGCACCCCGCCACGCACCCCCTCGGTTAGGGCATCTCCAACGGCAACCATCGGATGGGGCATCGCCGAATGTCCGGACACGCTCAGATGTGTCCGCGGACGGCACAACCATGTCCATCCAATCAGAGTTGCCGGTAAGCCAAATGGACCTAGGGGGAAGAAGGTTTTTTTTTTCAGGGGTAGGGGGAAGGAGACGAGTGGGGGCGGGCGTGCAGGCTCGCCCGAAGCCACATAGTTTGAGAACAGGTTGTGAGCCTCAAACGTCCCAATTGCACCGCGGGCATTTAATGACCTACACTTGAGGTCTAAAAGTGTTGGGACTAGTCCGGTACGGATGCCCTTCAAACAAGATAGTCGGAAATAATATTGTTGGCATTACAACCAAATAGTCGAAAACAAGCTCGGATAGATCGTTATGCGCATGCTCCGCATCTGTGCCATCTTCCATGCACGGGGAGGGCCTTGGCGACGGATGCGGATGCGGGTGCGGATGCGAGATAGGTGGAGCATGCCTGTGTAAAGATGCCCTCGGGTGGTTTATTTATGTTTTAGTCCTGTTTATCACAGCTCCAAAAGTCTTGAAAGGAACCTCGAGTCATGATTACTGTGAGTTGGCTTGATTGCATATAGAAATATAAGGTACTACTAGTCCAGGGCGCGGGGCAACCTGCGGCTGAGATGGCGTGAGCATGTTTGACCGACGGCTGCGATGGCGTGTGCTGTGACGGGCAGATATAAATAGATCGATAGATACAGCTCTGGCTTTGCTGCTAGATTCCAGCACTAGAGCCACACAGCTCCTCGTATGCTTCAGATTACATTACACTACGGACAAGCAAAAGAGAAAAACAGTACCAATATCAGCAATCCCGTGTTTTGGACAAGGTAAAACAACACATATTTCCAAGTTTTGGACAAGGTAAAACAGCGCATATAATATAAGAGACCTTTCTCTGACATACAAAATGACCGCCGCTTACTCACATTATGAGCTTCCTTGATGAGACGGCAAGACACATGGCATACAAGACAGGAATGGCTAATCCCAGACCTGCCCTTGCATGCAAAGGTAACTGTCAAAAGTATAGAAGCTAGGAAACGCTATAGAAACTAGCTAGTGCCAACAAAATGTCTGATGCAAAACGGCGGGCAGGTCAACAAAGGTATAACGGAGTCGCAGCATCAACCATCTCAACTGGATTTAGAAGTTCCTTCTGCCTCCTCCGCTGTTTCTGTGATCCCCTGAAGGAGTTCCTTCGGAATTGCAGCTGGGTCTACCTCATAGCTACCTTTGGGGACGTTTGGAGCTTCTTCCCCCGACAACCTATAGAAGGGGACCTGATGTGAAAACCGAAACATCTCCTCTTTTGGAATCCTCTTGATGACGTTCCGGTTCTGGTGACGCTGAAAAACTGTCCGAAATCCAGTAACCTTAACCAAGGGAATTACAGAGATTCCATGATCTTCGTCATAATCATCCAGTACCTCAACCAGATCATAGACATGCAGCACATTATCTGGAGTATCTCCATCCCATTCAGGGGACCAGTTTCGGTACAAAGCCCAGATATCGCCTTCCCGTGGGTAAACTTTGACCACCCCACGTGGGCCTTTCTCCCATTTAATCTGGTGAGAGAACATGTTGACCACATCACAGATTTCATGTTTGGCAATCCTGAAATCACCACACGTCTTTGCAAAGCCAGAAGAAACCCAACTCAATGGTCCAAATTCACTATTCGTCTTCGACTCGAGGTAACTTATTTTGACCTTAAACGGGTTCAAGGAGATAACTTTCTGAATAAATGTGTAGAAACGAGGCATGCCATCATCATCGTCGTATGAAGCCCAAATTTGATCACTCTGAAAACATTCCTCGGTACGATCCTTATCAAAATCATGGAAATCAGGATCAGGAACAGTATAAGACATAGGGTCCTCATCTTCATTTCCAGCAGCTGTGCTATCAGTAGAACCATTGCTATTAGCAGAACCATTCTCCTCTGGATCCACACAAACATCTTTCTTTGCAGTAGAATCAACTGTTGCTTTGCTAACCTCAACATATTTCTTGCTTGCTGGACCATCAACAGTAACTTGGATTGGCCTACTTCGTATCTCACTTAGCTTCTCCTTCAAATCGCTCTTCATCTTGTCAATCAAAATTCTCTTAAGATCTGACTTGGAGAAAATCTTAGTTACGCTGAGCCGAGTAACAGGCCTGGGCTTCCAAGTGGGCACACCATTAACAATCTGAAACTCAAAGGCATTGTTGGTTGAAAATGGTATAGTTCCAACTGGCATTCTAGCAAATTGGGCCCATGGACCTGAGGGAATGGATGAACCAACTCCAGCATCAGTTCTCATCTTCTTTCCAAATGCAGTATCGCACATTGACACATCTGCTTGCCTTTTTAGAGGATTGTGCTTCCTCTGAAAAGCTTCTTCCCTTCTTGCTACTGCTTGTGCCTCCTCCCTCTCTCTCTTAACTTTCTCATATGTCTGATGAACCATATTAGCAGCTTGAGCCGCAGCAGATGATGATGCAGTAGCACTGGCTGCACCAGCTGCCCTTGAGAATGGACCCCACTGAAATTTTCTCCCAGTGCTTGCATCTTGAGGTGCACCACTGATGTTTGAGCCCCGTACTGCATGAACATCCTCAGTTGGTGGCACCGGTACCTCTTTTGCAAGGAATGGGTCGCGGCAGCTAGGGCAGAGAAGAGTATGATTTATATACACTCTGAGATATTCAAAATTCATCTTGCATTTGTTGCATGAGGTCCAAAATGTGTCCTTCATTGCTGGAGGTGGAGCAGGAGCAGGAGCCTGATGATGAGGAGGCGGGCGCTGTGGGGGCGGGGGCGGGCGCTGGCGCGCTGCAGATGTTGTTGACCCTGTCTTTGGCTTGTTTGCTCTTGGCTTGAAAGCAGGTGATTTGGCTGCGAAATTCTGGAAGCCATTGGTTGCACCTTGAGTTGCACTTGTCCTATTTGATTGGGCTGTCTTCTGTTGTAGTACAACTACTTTCCTTTTTTGATCATACAACAGTCTCTTGGTTTTATCAGATAACACAGTCCATGCCTCTTTAACCAACTGGAAGGCACCCTCAGCGCCCACTGATTTGTTCTTGTCAGGATGGAGTAGAAGTGCCATCTTCCTGTACTGCTTCTTCACAGTTTCATCATCTGCTGACTTGTCCACAGAGAGGATAGAGTAATAGTCATTCTCACCAGCAACCTTCAGTTCTGAGGTAAGGTAAACATCAAAGGTGATGATCATCTGCATAATGCCCTCAAGATCCGGAAAGAGAGACTTGGCCTTGAGTGCGAATTTCTTGGCACCCTGCAGGTCCTTGGATTCAAACTTCCTCTCTGCAATTTGCTTCGCCCTAAGGGCCTCATCCTTGTTGCACTCCATTCCGTCGCAGGTCAAGAAGGTACAAACAGCAGGCACGCTTTCACAGTGTACTTGGAGAAATACCAGACCTCAGAGCCACGCCCTCTCGTCCACCAATCAGCGTCGAGCACGTGGCCAGTTTTAAAGCCCTGCCCAAAAAAGGGAACCAATGTTACCAAAAAAATCATATACGACAAATAGATAAAGATTTTAAAAAAAAAAATACAGCCCTCTCGTGAATGACAGGAATTATAAACTAGTGCATGGACGACAGATATAAATGCTCAGGATCAATTGAAGATACAAAATTGTCGTATAATAACAACCATCCTGGGGCACAATGGGTGAGGACGCAGCACCGCATTAAGGGTGTGCAAGACCAAGTGCAGATTCAGAAATTTACAGTAACCGTCTTATCAGACATAACTGTAAATGCGCATAACTGAAACACTACCGTAGCATGCAACGGACAACACGTCACGGAATGAAGGACCAATAGAATTGAAAGATAGAGAACATCATACCGACAAAACAGAGAACCAATTAAAAGATACAGGCAGGGTGCCGACAAAACCAGCGTGGCTGGAATTACAACTACACAGAGCTCAACTTAGGCCTAGTACGAAACATAGTAAATTTACTCGGAGAAATATCAGACCTCCAAGCCCTGCAATATCTTTCAGCAATCAGCGTCGAGCAAGTGACCATACAAGAAGCTTCCAAGCCCTGCCCAAAAGGGAACAAATGTTACCAAAAATGGTATAGAACGAATGGATTAAAAAAAAACTTGTACAAATACAGCCCTCCCCGGCATGATAGGAATTATAACTACACAAAACTAGTGCATGAACGGCGCACATAAATGCTCAGAATCAATTGAAGATACAAAATTGCCGTATAATAACAAATCAAAAATGGCGCACAATGGGTGACGACACAACACCGCATTAAGGGTGCAAGACCAAGTGCAGATTCAGAAATTTACAGTAACCGTCTTCAAAACAGATGTAACTGTAAATGCGCATAACTGAAACACTCCCGTAGCGCGCAACGGAGCGACAAAACGAAGGTCCAATTAAAAGATGCAGACAGGGTAACCGACAAAACCGACAAAACTTTGCGCGCGACCGGCGAAACGGCAGAATTCGCCGGAATAACTTGAACCCTAACCCTAACCCTAGCTAGCGCGCGCAGGCGAACCCGCCAAGAGGGCGCAGGGCTCCGGGCAGGGCTGGGGAATTCGGTGTAACTGACGGAAACTGATCTTTTTCTGCAGAATTCGTTCAGCACAGCAGAACACATCGGGAGCCGGAGCATCACTTGAACCGAGCCCGGAGCTACCGCGGAAACAAACTGCTAGAACTACTCTACGGCGCAGCGGCGAATTGCCTTCGTTTGGGAAAAACGGGGATTTTTCGTTCGGGGCGGAGCAGAGCAGCGGCGGCCGGAGCGGCGGCCCGGGGCGGATCTAGGCGGCGGGCAGGGCGTGCTGGCTTCGAGGAGGCTGGTCCGGGACTACTAAGCGACCAGCCGCCGGAGGAGCGGATGGTGGCCGGAGCTACCTCGGAGACAAATGCCCGAAATTCAGGGGCGCCGCCGCTGAAGCCCCAGGGCGTGGAGGGGTGGGTGCTCGGCGGCGGCTCGGGGGTGAGCTTGCGGCGCGGGGAGGGAGGGAGGGGCGGAGGGGGAGGAGCGGGGTTATACCGGCGGAGGGGACGGAGGAGAGGAGAGACGGCGGAGGGGACGGAGGAGGATCTAGATTCCCGGGAACATTTCTCCTCGGGTGTGTTGGGCCATGGATTTGTTTTTTTGATTGATTCAAGGGAACCTACCCAACCCAACCCTAGCTTAATCTAGGGAACCCAACCCAAGGGTCTGGTTAGGATTTAACCATGGGTGAGTCAAGTGTGGTGGGTGGGTGGGGGTTGGGTGGGACACTCTAGGGGTGTCTTTTGGTTGTCCACAAAAGTTCAACCAAGTCCGGTGTGTGCAAGATTTTTTCGATGTCGGGCTGTTTGGTTGTCCACAAACACTATTGGGCCTGCACATCACGTTCCTTCAAGCATCCCTGAGCCTAGCTCACTAGAAATTGCCGACTCACTAGAAACAGTCGAATCGGCAGTTTCTAGCGAGCCAGGCCCGAGCGATGCGAGGAAGCGCGCTACGGTGGCTTGCTGGAAATGTGTTAGCAGTTAATCACCTTATCCCCTCGTCTCCTTCCTCCTTCTCTAATTACTCACACTGATCTCGCCTGCTCGCGCGCCGGATCCGGCTAACGGGACCCCCTGCAACCGCAACACTCACCGCGTGCGAGGCCGCCGAGGCGCCCGTCGCCGCCGCGCTCGAGCTGCTCACGGCGCAGCGACTGGGAGCATGCGGGCGTCAGGCGAGCTGCTCACGGCGCAGCGACTGCGAGCATGCGGGCGTCAGGCGAGCTGCTACGGCACGGTGCGGCGGAGGGCGAGTGTGCCGGCGCGATGGACGTGGGGCTAGCTACGACGCTAGTGATGTTGGGGAACGTAGCAGAAATTCAAAATTTTCCTATGTGTCACCAAGATCTATCTATGGAGAAACTAGCAACGAGGGAAGGAGAGTGCATCTACATACCCTTGTAGATCGCTAAGCGGAAGCGTTCAAGAGAACGGAGTTGAAGGAGTCGTACTCGTCGTGATTCAAATCACCGGAGATCCTAGTGCCGAACGGACGACACCTCCGCGTTCAACACACGTACAGCCCGGTGACGTCTCCCACGCCTTGATCCAGCAAGGAGAGAGGGAGAGGTTGAGGAAGACTCCATCCAGCAGCAGCACAACGGCGTGGTGGTGATGGAGGAGCGTGGCAATCCTGCAGGGCTTCGCCAAGCACTACTCAGGAGGAGGTGGAGTTGGAGAGGGGGAGGGCTGCGCCAGGGGCAAGGGTGAAGCTCCCATGCGCCTCCCCACTATATATAGGGGTGGAGGGGCTGGTTTCTTGCCCTCCAAGTCCATTGGGGCATTGGCAAAGGTGGGAGGAAAGAAATCACATCATTTCCTTCCCCACCGATTGTTATCCCCCCTTTTTAGGGATCTTGATCTTATCCCTTCGGGATATGATCTTATTCCTTCTAAGGGGGGATCTTGGTGCGCCTTGACTAGGGGTGTGGGGCCTTGCCCCCACTACCCACGTTCATGTGGGTCCCCCCATGCAGGTGGGCCCCACTCCGGAACCTTCTAGAACCTTCCCGGTACAATACCGAAAAATCCCGAACATTTTCCGGTGGCCAAAATAGGACTTCCCATATATAAATCTTTACCTCCGGACCATTCCGGAACTCCTCGTGACGTCCGGGATCTCATCCGGGACTCCGAACAACATTCGGTAACCACATACAAACTTCCTTTATAACCCTAGCATCATCGAACCTTAAGTGTGTAGACCCTACGGGTTCGGGAGACATGCAGACATGACCGAGACGTTCTCCGGTCAATAACCAACAGCGGGATCTGGATACCCATGTTGGCTCCCACATGTTCCACGATGATCTCATCGGATGAACCACGATGTCGAGGATTCAATCAATCCCGTATTCAATTCCCTTTGTCTAACGGTATTGTACTTGCCCGAGATTCGATCGTCTGTATACCGATACCTTGTTCAATCTCGTTACCGACAAGTCTCTTTACTCGTTCCGTAACACATCATCCCGTGATCAACTCCTTGATCACATTGTGCACATTATGATGATGTCCTACCGAGTGGGCCCAGAGATACCTCTCCGTTTACACGGAGTGACAAATCCCAGTCTTGATTCGTGCCAACCCAATAAACACTTTCGGAGATACCTGTAGTGCACCTTTATAGCCACCCAGTTACGTTGTGACGTTTGGTACACCCAAAGCATTCCTACGGTATCCGGGAGTTACACAATCTCATGGTCTAAGGAAAAGATACTTGACATTAGAAAAGCTTTAGCATACGAACTACGATCTTTGTGCTAGGCTTAGGATTGGGTCTTGTCCATCACATCATTCTCCTAATGATGTGATCCCGTTATCAATGACATCCAATGTCCATGGTCAGGAAACCGTAACCATCTATTGATCAACGAGCTAGTCAACTAGAGGCTTACTAGGGACATGGTGTTGTCTATGTATCCACACATGTATCTGAGTTTCCTATCAATACAATTATAGCATGGATAATAAACGATTATCATGAACAGGGAAATATAATAATAACTAAGTTATTATTGCCTCTAGGGCATATTTCCAACAGTCTCCCACTTGCACTAGAGTCAATAATCTAGTTCACATCGTGATGTGATTAACGCTGATAGGTCACATCGCCATGTGACCAACATCCAAAGAGTTTACTAGTGTCTGTAAACTAGTTCACATCATCATGTGATTAAGACTCAATGAGTTCTCAGGTTTGATCATGTTTTGCTTGTGAGAGAGGTTTTTAGTCAACGGGTCTGAACCTTTCAGATCCGTGTGTGCTTTGCAAATTTCTAGGTCATATTGTAAACGCTGCTTCCACGCTCCACTTGGATCTATTCCAAATGGTTGCTCCTCTATACGTATCCGGTTTGCTACTCAGAGTCACTCGGATAGGTGTTAAAGCTTGCATCGACGTAACCCTTTACGCAAACTCTTTATCACCTCCATAATCGAGAAACATGTCCTTATTCCTCTAAGGATAATTTTGACCGCTATCTGGTGATCCACTCCTTGATCACCTTTGTACTCTCTTGCCAGATATGTAGCAAGGCACACATCAGGTGCGGTACACACCATAGCATACTGTAGAGCCTACGTCTATAGCATAGGGGACGACCTTCGTCCTTTCTCTCTTTTCTGCCGTGGTCGAGCTTTAAGTCTTAACTTCATACCTTACAACTCAGCCAAGAACTCCTTCTTTGACTGATCCATCTTGAACACCTTCAAGATCATGTCAAGGTATATGCTCATTTGAAAGTATTATTAAGCATTTTTGATCTATCCTTATAGATCTCGATGCTCAATGTTCAAGTAGCTTAATCCAGGTTTTCTATTGAAAAACATCTTTCAAATAACCCTATATGCTTTCTAGAAATTCTACATCATTTCTGATCAACAATATGTCAACAACATATACTTATCAGAAATTCTATAGCGCTCCCACTCACTTCTTTGGAAATACAAGTTTCTCATAAACTTTATATAAACCCAAAATCGTTGATCATCTCATCAAAGCGTACATTCCAACTCCGAGATGCTTACTCCAGTCCTTAGAAGGATTGCTGGAGCTTTGCATACTTGTTAGCATCCTTCAGGATTGACAAAACCTTCTGGTTGTATCACATACAACCTTTCCTCAAGAATAACATCGAGGAAACAATGTTTTGACATCCTTTCTGCAAGATTTCATAAATGCAACTAATGCTAACATGATTCCGACGGACTTTAAGCATCGCTACGGATGAGAAAATCTCATCGTAGTCAACTCCTTGAACTTGTGAAAAACTCTTCGCCACAAGTCGAGCTTCACAGACGGTGACATTACCGTTCACGGCCGTCTTCTTCTTAAAGATCCATTTATCTCAATGGCTTACCGATCAATGGGCAAGTCCACCAAAGTCCATGCTTTGTTCTGATACATGGATCATGTCTCGGATTTCATGGCTTCTAACCATTTGTTGGAATATGGGCCCACCATTGCTTCTCCATAGCTCGTAGGTTCATTGTTGT